CTTTAGATTCATAATTAGAGACAACTCATTCACTTTAGACACATTTCCTTAAAGCTAAATCCCTTCGGCTAATTTTAGAACTCTTCGATTGATTTTAGGGCCAAAAGTTAGATCCCTTCGACTACTTTTAGATCCCTTCGATTAATTTTAAGATCCACAAGATTAACTTCCTCTTCCCTCGCTCCTTCCCAACACAGGCTGGCGGACGAGTATGGCCCCCTCTACAGCGTGCAGTTGGGCCTCCGTCGGGTGGTCGTGCTCAACTCCTCCCACTGGCTGACTCAGGCCTTCGTCAGGCAGGGGGACATGTTCAATCACCGTCCTAGGGGCACCGTCCTTAGTTTCATCATGGGCGGGAAAGGTAAAGCTGTGTAGATCTTGTTTTTTTCATGTTTTTTAGACGCGATTGAGACTAAAGATTCTGTCAATCGGTATTATTATTTTTCTCTGATTTCTTCATCTATTTTTAGACACGTTGAAACTGGAAGAAGGTTTCTTTTGTTTTGTCTCTCTCTCTCTCTCTTCTCTCTCTCTCTTTCTCCCTCTCTCTCTCTTTCTTTCTCCCTTCTCTCTCTCTCTCTCTCACTTTCTCTCTCTGTCTCTGTCTCGTCTGTCTCTCTCTCTCTCTCTCTCCATCTCTCTCTCTCTCTCTCTCTCTCTCTCTCTCTCTCTCTCTCTCTCTCTCTCTCTCTCTCTCTCCCTCTCCCTCTCCCTCTCCCTCTCTCTCCTCTCCTCTCCCTCTCCTCTCCCTCCCTCCCTCCCCTCTCTCTCTATCTCTCCTCTCCCTCCCTCAGGACTCTGATTGAATCTAGAACTGCTGAGTTCAATTTGGCGAGTCCTGAATCGGCAAGTCTGAGCCAGGTTCGGAAATGCTTTTAGCTACCGCCCGCCGAAAGAACTTACCTTGGTTCTTATCTCACAAACATATTTAAGTATCATGGTATATTCCCCTTTTTTATGTCTCGCTTTGCAATTTCTAAAGTCATCGTATGCTTCATTTACAAAGTATGCAGACAGAGAGGTAAAAGGTTCAAATATATCGACATTTTCCTGGTTCTTCTTCGCATCATGTATATTCATCGGTGGCTGCATGAAGTTGTTTTGGTAAAAGAGGCAGTGAACTCAAATTTACTTCACGGTACGCGGTTCGAATGGCATAGTATCCCCATGAATCGGATAAAAAGAGAAAACAACGCAAGCTTCCACACTTGCAAATACTCTCTCCCGCTCTTTCTCTCTTTCTCTCCTCAGTCTCTTTTTTTTTCTCTCCTCTCTTTCTCCCCCCCCTCTCTCTCTCTCCTTCCCTCCCTCCCTCTCCCCTCTCCCTCTCTCTCCTCCTATCTCTCCTCTCTCCTCTCTCTCTCTTCTCTCTCTCTCTCTCTCTCTCTCTCTCTCTCTCTCTCTCTCTCTCTCTCTCTCTCTCTCTCTCTCTCTCTCTCTCTCTCTCTCTCTCTCTCTCTCTCTCTCTCTCTCTCTCTCCCTCCCCCCCCCCCCCCTCACTCCCTCTAACAGCCCAGCCATTACGCTCGGCTTAACCACCCGTAGCGATGTCCGAATCTCTCCCTAATGGCATCGACTTCACTAGTTACTTTTTTGTTCGTGGCTACCAATGGAGCGTTCACTAATATATAGTAATGAAGTTGGGTCGCCAGTTCTTTTGTACAGAAATGTCTCACAACGGATACGGTTCATTCGCTTGTGATATTCCCTGAAAGGAGATTGTACCATGATGTTGTATATTTGATCCTCGCTTTGTAAGTCGCACTCGTCCGGATAATCAGACGACTTCCGCATTGTTTATTATTGCTGAAGGATCTGAAACAAATCCTCTCTCATTCTCTCTCTCATATATAAAATTACTTCCCCTTTCCGCCTCATATAAATACTTTCTTTCTTGTGTCTTTTTTCGTTGAAGAAAAGACACTCGTTTATTTTATTTTATTTTTTTGTCTCGTACCTTTTTCATATATGCATTACTGGCTCTCATTTTTGTCACTTTCTTTGTTTCTGTCTGTCTGTTTCTTTGTTTGTCTGTCTTTTATCTATTCATTATCTCTCTGTTTCTGTCTCTGTCTTTGTCTCTGTCTCTCTCTCTCTCTCTTTCTCAGCCTGTCCGTCCCTCTCTCCCTGTTTGTATGTCTGTCCTTCTCTCTCCCCTTTCTCTCCCCCTCTCTTTCTTTCAGCCTATCCATCCTCTCTCCCTGTCTGTCCGTCTGCCTCAACCAAGAAAAAAAACAAGAAACAACACACTCTCAACCCCCCCCCCACAAAACCATCTTACAAAACAACCCCCCACCCCCATCCCCTTAAACGCACCATTATCCCCTTAACCCCTTAAACGACCTCGTTCATCCCCCCTTCCCCCCCTCGCCCCGCACCAGAAAAAGGTCGGCCAGCCCTACAACCTGCACTACGACCTGGCCACTTCCGTCCTCAACATCGTGTGGCACATGTTCGTCGGAGAGCGGTTCCCGATGGACGACAAGAACCTCCGCTGGAT